GCCGATGAGGAAGGAGGGGGACTCCCTGGGCTCCCAGGTAAGTCCCCGTACCGGGTAAGTACATAAGATGATGGGGACGTTCTATGCCGCCCTGCGGCGTTTAGAGACGGTTCCTTAAGGACGTCATAGAACGTCCTGCAGTGTTAAGGGGTTAAATCTAGCATGTTGTCGGTATTTGTACAAGCCATGCTGCTGTAAAGTACATGGAGCAGACTAAGCAGTCGGACATTCAGTCATTAACCAAGGACTCAACAGCAGGAGTGGTCATGTGACTTGGCCTAATGTGTTGCTGGGCACAGGAAATGAGTAGCTGTTCTGATTGGTTAGAGCTTGTAAGACAGTTATTTACCATCTGCATCCAGTGAAGGTGCAGACCAGAGGTTCCAGATCCCTCCCCTGGCAATGACCAGCACATTGGACCACCAGGGATTGGAAGCCCACTGGACTACCAGGGATCAGAATATCCACCATCCCTGCAAGGTAACAACATAGGGAGGAAATAATTGTATTTTTAATGTAATAATTATTAAATTAATAATAATAACAATAATATAGCTCCCATCATACCCATATATTTACAATGGACCCAACAATACACACAATACCCCACTATATACACACTAGCTCCCAATACACACTCACTACAACCCCTATGCACAGTGCTCCCCCTGCTGCCAGTGGGCAAATAGCTCAGATTTTTTTTTTTATATCAGGCCCAGATCATTCTGGATTTAAGCCATCTGGTGGCATTCTGTCCAGCTGATATCTGGATCAAAGGCTTGAATTGCAAAATTCGGACATTGTTGAATAGTGTGAACAATGTTCGCATTCTGCAATCCAAATGGGCCTATGCATAGGGTCCCATTAGAGTCTCCCAGTTATTCCCTTAAGTGAGAATTGAAGGGACATTAATTTAGTGAATTTCAAAAGTTAGTCCAAAATATAATTACTTTTCAGTTTAACTGTTTTAGCCTTAAACGTGAAATTTACTTTGCATTCCAAGCAATGCCCACACTAGTAAATAAACCACCATCCAAAGGTCATATAAAGCTTCTGCTTGCCATCTAAGAGCATGGAAATCAACGTGGTGGGTTGTTTGGAGGCAAAACAGATGATTTGTTTAGTGACTTCATAACCTTTCTATAGTTATTTAGAAATAAGCAAATGTTGTCTTTGACTGAAAAACCACACCACCACTGACTGATTTTGATGTTGCCTGTATGTTATTTATCTGACTTCATCTCAAGTTTTGGACTGCAGAGAATGATACTGATTGCATTGCCTTGCAAGTCCATTGCAGACAAAAATCATAGAAGTGATCATGCCAGCAGGCATTGTCACATATGTCACGAGACCTTGGGTCCTTCTCTTCTGAAGTGGACAGCACCACTAGTGGAAGCCTTGATACCATCTTGGGCTATTATTCTTCAGATGTATTCCTTGACTTTGTTGGATCATCTAGTAGAAGACACAGCACTACAAATATTATGTTTTTTTCCCTCATGGGGGCCAGGAACTCCAATATGTGACTTTCACAGCATTTCCATGCTTAACCAATCACCAGCAGATACCTGCACTCACAACATTGTCATTGTTTCTGTGGATTTATTGTTTGGGATTATTTGCAATTTACCTGGATATTCTCACAGTGTTTTATTTTAGTACTCCATTACTTACACAACTGCAAAGTGGTTTTCAATATAGCCTATTATCAAGCTTTTTATTTCCTCCTAGTACCTCTATTATTGGTTTGCTAATGTACATAACAGGTGTTTTATTTATGAGTGATTATAATGACTGTGATATGCATTTTGTTTGAATAGACCTTGATTTTGGTAGGGACTACCGGTTATTTGTACTGTAGAGTACAGTTTTGTTGAAACTTGCTGTACATTTTTATGTAATGTAGCTCATATTCTACAATGAGTATTATTTGTTGCTTCAACGCAATAGATGAAATCCTTTATACAGACATGGGAGAAAAAAATGCATTTGAGTTTTTGTACGAACATTTAAATTTATAAGGATAACCGTCTCTTTCAGTCAACATTTCCGACTTACCTCCTGTCATTTTTTGTTGTTTTTCCATTTACTTTATTGTACGTTCTGCAATAAAAGTGATTTACATTATATCAATTTTTCTGCTACCTGCTCTTTACTATGACCCAGGCACATGTTATAGTCACAGGAATGATGATACTCCTGTCACACCACTGAGTTATAGAATATTTTCAGCTTAGCTGATGCTAAACAATTAGCAATATCCAAGTAGCACAAATTAATTTCTTTCTTTTTTAGAATTCAAATTTATGACAGATTATGCTGCAGGGATATAATTAGAGCAAATAAAATACACAAACAAAAAGAACAACTGGTAATTCTAGTCAGCATAATGCCATTATAAACAATAACTGTACTAGCATGATAGTTGTGGACAATATAGACTATATTGGCCACAACTGTCATGCCAATAAAGTTATTTTTTATAATTGCACTGTGCTGACTAGAATCACCATTTTCTTTGTATTTTGTTTCTTTTATTATTCACTTATATGATGTAGCACATTATAGCATCTTTATCCAAATTATGATAAACAAATGTGTAACTTGGTCTCATAAAATATTGTGATAACATTGAAAATAAGATTGATATACTGATGTATCAAACCTATTAATATCTAGCTAATAATAACTATTTTTAAGGGACACTCAGAGCACCAATGCAAGTTAATGCATTTCAAAAGGTTTGGCCTCATTAAAATGCTGTATGTTTTGCATGCTTAAAGGTTTCCTCCAAGTGCCATGACTAGAGTTGAACGAACAGGTTTGTACCGAACATTACTTTTTGGAACCCGAACACGGACATATTACTACATGTTCGGGGTGGAGTTCGGGGTTCGGTGATTTAATGGCGCGTTTTCAAAGGCTGCAGGCAGCCAATCAACAAGCGTTTGACTCGTGTGCCCTTAGAAGCCATCACAGCCATGCCTACTAATGGCATGGCTGTGATTGGTCAGTGCAGCATGTGACCCAGCCTCTATATATAAGCTGGAGTCGCGTTGCGCCGCACGCACATGAGCCTTTATTAGTGTAGGGAGAGGATGCTGCCACTGATAGGGACAGCTTAGGAAAGAATTCTGCAAACTAGTACATTAGTGGGGTGGGGTGAACGTCATGTCTGAGAGTCAAATTGAAGGGTCAAATACTGCTGTCACATTGCAGTTTTAAAACGTAAAATTTTTTGGGTGCTAAAAAGTACATTAGTGGGGTGCTCTTTATATCTGAGAGTCAAATAAAAGTGTCAAATAGTGCACTTACTGCACAGGTGTAAAAAGTCTAATTGTTTTGGTGCTAAACTGCTAAATAGTACATTTTGGGGGTGCTCTTCATAACTGAGAGTCAAATAGAAGCGTCTAATAGTGCGCTTACTGCACAGTTGTAAACATTTTTATTTTCTGGGTGCTAATCTGATAAATAGTATATTTTGGGCGTGCACTTCATATCTGAGAGTCAAATAGAAGCGTATAATAGTGCGCTTATTGTGCAGTTGTAAAAATTCTAATTGTTTTGGTGCTAAACTGCTAAATAGTACATTTGTGGCCTGCACTTCATATCTGAGAGTCAAATAGAAGCGTCTAATAGTGCGCTTGCTACACATTTGTAAACATTCTAATTGTTTTGCTGCTAATCTGCTAAATAGTACATTTTGAGGCCTGCTCTTCATATCTGAGAGTCAAATAGAAGCATAACTTTGATTCAAATTGACTACATCGGTCACTTGTAATATTGTTTCACCCCTACAACACTTGTTACACAGATCTAAGTGATAGAAATCAGATTGATATTTTCTACACTAGAAACTACCAGATAACAAGCTGCTATATTTAAACCAGTTATCAATAGCTAAGAGGTACTTAAACAATATTGTAATTCTGGGGCAATACCCTCACAAGTCAAACTGAGAGGTCAGTTTATAGGGAAAACTGTTGCCTGGATACAATTCTAAAAGAATTTCCATATGTTCTTTGCAGACTTTACATGCTGGAAAAACACAGGTGCCAACTGCTGTGGCTTTCTGAAGTGTGCATACCGGCAAGGAGGGCAGGGTTGAGTTGTGGGTGGAAGATGATGTGGGGGATGATGAGGTCCTAGACCCCACATGGAATCAAGGTCATGCGAGTGACGTGTGCAGTTTGGAGGAAGAGGCGCTGGTCGCACAGAGGCACCAGCACAGCATAAGAGGGAGCAGGGTGCAAAAGCGGAGCGGCAGTCCCCCAGCGCTCGTCGGCATGTATTAGCTCAAGAATTACCAGTTATCCAAGTAATACATGTAGTGATAAAAGGATCCATAATAGAGTTGAGCGAACCCGAACTGCAAAGTTCGGGTTTGTACCAGATTTAACGATCCATTCGTAGTTTCACAGTCAGGTGGGCAGTCCGGTGACCAGGACCCTGACACTGTCTGGGCGGCGGTCAGATGACCGGGACCCAGTATGCCTGATGTTGAAGTTAGGAGTCATAGTGTGGAATGGATTAGCAGGGTCTGGTGCAGGGTAACCGCACACCCTTGGTGTTGAGCACCAGCGTTTGTTCGGCCACATACCAGGACCCTGATGCAGCTTCAGTAAAAAGAGTACTGGATACCAGAAGCCATCACCAGACTGATCCGCAACTTGGAACAGGATGTGACATTCACTGTAGCGGCTGTGCGCGCTTTCGGCGTTCTCACCCTGTTGCTGCTCGCCTGTCTGCGCTGCAGCGTAACTTTGGCCTTCCCGCTCACTGCCTCATATGCAACGTGCCCACAAGGTGGAACTCCACCTTGCATTTGCTGGAGAGACTGTTTGAGCAGCAGCAGGCGATAGTGGAGTTTCAGCTGCAGCATGCACGGGTCAGTGGCTCTGCACCAGACTTCCCTCCAATTGATCAGAGTTAAAGGATTTCAAGTGGACTCATTACAATTACAGGGCCTCTAAAGAGTCCTGTATTGTTATTTGTCGTCACTACCTTCCCGCGTCGGGAGTGTGTCATTTGCGCGCCTGCTGCCTTCCTTGCATGTGATAGCTGTTTCTCAGGGTCCCTGTACAGAATGGAACCCTGATTACCCGTTATCCGTGGTCACCATGGTAGGCGCAGAAACAGGCATCGAAAGTTGATATGGATGATATCCGAAAGCAAAGTCGCCGTCACGGGGATGTGCGATTGGCCCAAGCTTCTCTAGAGTCAACAAAGTGCCTGCACAACTATAATGTCAACAGCTACTCTGTGGAACAGAGTTGTCTTTTTTTTTATATGTCCCAATATTTTGGGGGCTACCCCAATTAAAAAATATATATATAAAAAACAGTGTTGGCTACCTCCTCCTCCTCCACCGCTGCTTCCACCTACACTGCCACGGTCACCGCCTCCTCAACCGATGGGTCACTTAGTATAAACTATGTAAACAATAGCAGAGGCTTGTGAAGGCCTTTTCTCCATGCATCAGGAGTTGAGCATTTCTCCATGCATCAGGACTGCAAGAAATGCACGGCAGGCCGCAAATATTTCTTTTTTGTATGTCCCAATATTTTGGGGGCTACCTCAATTAAAATAAAAAATAGATATATATAAACAGTGTTGGCTACCTCCTCCTCCACCACCGTCGCTTCCACCTACACCGTCGCGGTAACCGCCTCCTCAACCTATGGGTCACTTAGTATAAACTATGTACACAATAGCAGAGGCTTGTGAAGGCCTTTTCTCCATGCATCAGGAGTTGAGCTCAGTTTGAACAATGAAAGAGAATACCCTGCACTCCAACCCTCCCTCAAATGGATAATTCTGGTGGTCCTCCTGATAGCCATGCTTTAGATTTTGATTTATGTTCTTCCAAAGCTAAAAAAGATTCCATCTAGTGCTCTTTTATGGCTCAGCTGTATTTTTTATTTTTATGTTATTTTAAGTGATTTCCCTATCCACATTTATTTGCAGGGTACTTGTCATACTTTTACCCACATTTTACTTCCTTGTGCAGGCCTCTAGCACTTTCCAGGAGTTTTTTAGAGGCATTTTTGTGCCCAAAAGTTCAGGTCCCCATTGACTTCAATGGGGTTCGGGTTCAGGGTCAAGTTCGGGGTCACGTTCGAGCACGAACCCGGACTTTTTTTCAAAGTTCGGTCGAACCCGCCGGACCCGAACAGCCAGGTGTCCGCTCAACTCTAGCCATGACCACTTCAGTGATTTGAATTGGTCATGGTGCCTAGAGTGTGTATGTGCAGCGGTTTTCTCTGAAACACGGCACATAACTCTTAGCTACTGGAGGTGTAAAGTTTCTAAAGTTTTCAGTTACTTGCTCAGAGTGGTGATTTAAGGCTTCTGCCGCTCTGGACCACCAGTAGGCATCAGAGTTTGTCAGGCACCCAGGCAAGGGGACAAACCATTGCTAAAAGATTTGTCCCATTACCGGGTAACCTAGCTAGGGTACTCCTGCCATCATAACCACTACTCCTGGCTGTAGTGGTTATGATTCTTGGAGCAACCCTTTAAATCTTTAAAGTTTCTGCACAAAAAAATAAATAAATAAATTGAAGGGATTAAGTTAACATGGCTAGATTCATTATTATGAAGGAGAATAGCCAGCAGCGTCTGGGAGGGAAATGTAGTTTCATCAAAGGGCTTCCCTATATCTATTATGGGAACTCCTGACACATTTATCTTCCTCTTTCGACTACCTTCTATATAGTGTTACACTGTTATATTATTTGGAAAGTTTGTGTTCAACGAATCTCTTCTCACTGTATTTCATTTGTTTCCCTGCCACAAAATAACATAATGACTGCCCAGTTTGTTTAGTTTAGAAGTGTAATAAATGAGCTTTAGAAAATTTCCATTAGGGATGAGTATTTCGAAATACACTTTGTAGCGGAGAGCTGATTTCTCACAGCTAAACTCCACCAAGTACTTTAAGAGGATGCAGGAACAAGTAATAAATCCAAGAGAATATCCAGCACAATCAGCATTACAATCCAATAATATCCCATCACTTTCCCCAATCACTGTACGACACACAGTTTCAGGAGTAGAACTGAACTTTTAATCACACAACCTTCTTTTAAAGCATTCTCCCATGCAGGGGAGGGATTTACAGTAATTACACAATACACCAATCATACACGAGTTGCCACCCACACATTCCCTCCCCTTAGTGTGACACATAATCCCATTATGTAAGACACAGTTCCCCTTGTTTTCTGGATGTACCCCTAAACCTATGAGTACCCCTTTAAATATTACATCCCCTGGTAGCCCTGATCTGGGTGAGATACATATCCAAAAATCACCCAGATCAGATCAGGGGTTCAGGAGTTATGGGGGTTTAAAGTTTTGTGGAGGTCCCTTTAGGCCCACTGAAGCATGGCTTTCCAGCCCAAACCAGTTCCAAGGAGTCTGGCAGTGTGCCTGGGACAACGCCCTTCTGGAGAACAATGGGACAGGAAACGGGGGAGGGGTACACCTTCCTATACACAATCCATACACAGTCCAACAGAAGTCCATACACTGTGCTTAAAGCGCCAGTAGCCGCATAATAAAAAATCCATCATGCCAAAATACTGTCTTTAAAGGGCAATACCCCCAGGGCCATAGGCACATGAGCTAAGCCTTACATTGGACCGCATTTACGTTATCAAATGGTGTGAATACTTACATTAGGGGTAAGGGTGCCAGGGCACTACTTTTTTAATGTAGGCATCAACACTCACTCAGCATTGACTAGGGGCAACAGGATCTAACAACCCTAAAATTGCTGATTCACAAACAACTCAGTTTTTTTTCTCACCGAACTTCATAACGGCCATCTCAGAGGTTGAACAACCCTTGGCAGGCTGAACAATGTCTTTCATATGGTAAGCACCCTTACTAAAGATGGTGGTGAACCCAAAACTGTATTTACCATAATGATTCTTATGATCTTCTCTGTCAACTTATAAAGGATGAAGAAAGGCTACACGGGACACACTAAGCACCATAACTAATGCATCGTAATGTAGTGGTTTTAGTGCAAACACCCTGTGTCTGAACTAAAAATTATTAAAGACAATTAGGCAGGCGCTAGATGCCTTTTTTCATGGAGACATTTCATTATCAAAGTAAGAGGGATAGGGAATTTCAATAAAAAGATCTATGTCATTTACACGTATTTTGGATCACTCATGAGTGCTTTGTAGTGCTTTATTGTCATTCATCAGAAATTTGGACAGAGAATGTATATAAAAGTAGAAAAAACTTAAGAGGAAAAAATAGAAAACTAGAAAAGGGCAATTTAGGATAGCCTATGCATTTAGACCACTCAGATTTTATTATGTGACAATTTTATCCATGATCCCATTTTACGATGCATTATACGAAGGCCCAACATATCACTCTACATTAAAAAGTTTAATCATTTAATCAGTAATAGTGGAAGAAGAAAAACATTATTTAATGCAATTGTCTTTTATAATTCAAGAACCTGAACACTCTCAAACATTAGCTAATGGATAGAACTATTTTCTGTAATTTCTAAACATTTCTGAACAAACAAAATATAAAAAAAATCAAAGTATGATTATATTTGCATTTTTATTCCATTGTACCATATGTTAATAGAAAATTCCCATAATGTGCAGCAATGTAATAATAACAGTCACCATGCATATTTTTGCCGGGGGACATATTCAGTAATAAACCACTCACTTGATGCCCCTCTTAATCATAATACTTATCGTCATGAGTAAATCATTAAATGGTTAGATGCTGTTGGTTGTAAGAGAGGCTCGATTTTGAGTAATAATGGTGAAGGGAAGGCTGGTATTAGCACAAATTATACCTGTTATTTACCCAAAATAAAAGATTGATGATAACCTTGTACGTCTACTTGCAAATGCAAGAAGCTTGATTAACAAAATGAAAATAGTACAATATGTGTAAAAATGCCTAAGGCAATATATATGTTTTTCTACATTTTATCTTCTAATTATTCATTTACATACAGATATGGCATGTTCTCATTTTCTATTTCAATAAACACAAAGATGTTGCAAGCTAAGAGCATAAGCTAATCTTTAATATCTTGTTGTGTCAGATGAAAGTAAATGTTGGGGATTTCCTCATTTGATCTTTTTTTATAAAATCTGAATTTAAAAAAGTACTAGCAAATCATTTAATGTGTTCTGGGGTCTAGTTTAAAAAAAAAAAAATATTTAAAGGGACACTAAACCATGGGTGCCCAATAGGTAGATCCCCAGATATTTTAAAAATACTGTTCCATGATTCTCTGTCATTCTTAAGACATTCTTAAGACATGAAAAAGCATCATGGGAGTTGTAGATCTACAAAATCTGGGGATCTATCGCTTTTGCACCCTTGCTCTAAGCCGTATAGCCACTACAGATTGTTATGCTGCCCGCGTGCCTTTTTTTCAAATTGCTTCTAAATAGTTGGACATGAATTTGAGGAATGGATCTCTGAGAAATAGTTTGTCCTACAATAAGTGCTCCCATGGACTCATGTGTAGTTGGGAAATTATTTGAAGGGTTGTTAAGGGATTCTATTCTGGAATACATTGTGGACGACATCATTAGTAGTAATCAATAGGATTTTATGATAGATTAATCATGTATAAAAGGGACACTATAACCATTCCATATCATTTAATTGTTTATAGTGCCTGGATTTCCATGTAACTGTGCTTCTATTCAATGTTATACCATTTTCAAGCAGTTTCACACTAAATAAGGGTCCGTGGCTACACATAGTCTGGCCCTTACAGGAGGTATAGATAAAACAGACATTACACACTTCCTTGTAGCATTACCAGTTCATATCAGAAATGGGTGCTGTAAAAGGCTAAAGCAGTCAGTGGACAATTTTAGTTAATTACAGCTGCCCATTTCTGCTCAGTCTAATGCATCATCATTAGCCTGTCACGATTACCAGGAGAACACAAACACGCAGACAGATCACAGACACACAGATATTGCAATACCGGTCCTTAGAATGGCCGGGCTATGCAAAAGAGATAGAGTAGACAGAGTACAAGCTGAGGTCAAGGATAACAGAAAACAGAGTAAACGAGAAACGAGCCAAAGTCAGTAACGCACTATTGGGCTATGAAAGACCACAACAGGGCACTGAGGCAAGGGGGAGGTGAACTTACATACACACTTGGTGTGTCTGATTGGCTAATTTCCAATTAGTGTTAATTACAACACGTGGAAGGTGTCTTTTCCCTCTCTTGTGATCAGTGAGGTCATCACTGCGTGCTGGGTCACATGATGGGGTCTGACACAAATATAAGGAAGCTGCCTTGGAGCGTGCAGCATAAGAAACACTGTCAGGTTGAGGAGTGGCAGCAGGGACAGCCGCAAGCTGTGGA